AGACATTGCATGTGTTAAGGAATACTGAAATACTAATCACATTGGTTAAGTCATTATTTTGGACTATTGCATTGATACAGAAATACGTGTATTGAATTGAGCATTGCATTTGCATACATTGTTTTGTGTGGGAGGAGATGGGGATGTACTCACGTTTAGGGAAGATAGGGGAATAAAAAGGGGGGAGATCCTCTAAAAACCGAATTTTTTTGGAGGGTAGGGATGGACCCATTCTAGCATCACTTTTATGTGTGCTTATTTATATAGAAGTGTTTTATTGATACAGCACTAAAATGTGTATCAATCTGGAAGTAGAAGTGTTTTGATTTGAGTTGAGTCTCATTGTTTGTTGATATTGGAAGGATGTGAATATGATTATATATATTCACTGTTGTAATTTGGCCAGGTTCTGAGCCATGTTGATAATAGTTGGAAAGTAAACGTATCTTAGCAATAGTGTCATGAGACTGTAAAAATGAAGTATTTAGTGTACATATATGCATTATTCTTCAAATGAAGACTCTGTTTCTCAACCTCTTCCTGATCTGGTAGATTCATTTGAAGAATGATATATGTACACTAAATACTCTCACACAAAGCAGCTTGGAACAGATTTCCAGAGTCTATGGGAACTAGGTGATTTTCCCTCCAAGTGTTGTACTTGTTTCTTCATGATATGCATTCCCTTTGCTGCTGGTAAAGTTTGAAGGTCAATTGACCTCATAAGCACTAAAACCAGAGTGAGATAAATAAAGCACAAGATGTTTAATTTGTTTCTACATTCATAATTTTTGGGCTTATCTAAACCTATATATGAATTATGTGTATTTTGATAACTATGGATAGATTTTTTGATGGTTAACATTATTTTAGGAATATAAAAAATTAAAAAAATAATAAAAATAAACATATTCTGAATTTTCTGTAAATTTTGATTTATGTTTTATGAAACTATTGTGTTACATTTTAATATGTATAAGAAGTTTGAACCCATTAGTTTCAATAAGTTTTAACGGGGTATGTGGCTCCACCCTTTGTGTGTGTCGGTGTGAGTATATATGGTTTCTCTATGTATGGAATTGTTTGCCATCTCAAAGTTTAGCTGCAAAGATTTATGGTAATAATTTCCAGAAAATCCAAAACCTGATTCCAGCTTGTGAAAATAAATTCATGACAGAAAGGGAGAAGAAGAGGAGGACCAGAATTATTTTGAAAATAGTTTCTAGAATAGTTCTCAAATTTGTAACATGTGAACTTTTACAAGCTTAATTTTAACTTTATTTGCTTTACTATGAGGTGGATATTTCAAGCGTATTATTCAAGAAATTGTCAAAAGGGTCATTCTTGTGTGCCTATTGCAGGGAACATCTTTGCTTTTGGACTATTTATATCACCAATGTAAGTTCCACAGGCATACAATATAGGTTTGCTTTTGGTTCAGTCTCAATTTCAGGTTAGCTTGAGTGTTTGTTTGCTAATTATAATTTGGAATTTTGATATCATTGGATTCAATTAATTTTGAAATTGTAGTTTGTTTATTGTTTTTGAAGTTTAATTTGATAATCTATGAAGCATAAATCACATTGTTGTGTTTGATTTGGCCACCAGACTGGATCCATTGTTTATATATTCTGAAAAACGAAAACAGAAAATGAAAATATTAAAAGCAAACATGAAGGTGTGAGGGATGAGATAGTGTGCTTCAATTATAGGATTCATATGTTTATTTTGCAGATCTCTCTCTCAGTGAACGTGCACATGTTTCCAAAATCACCAACATGAAGATGCCACGGTGAAGGCCATAAAATATATAAAAGTCAAAGAGTATCATTTATACCCAACTTTGGTGGTGTGCTATTTATACAGTAATGCTCTATCTCAGCCTACGTTTCATTTTCCATTTAGGACTCTACTTGTCTACCTAGTATTCCTTATCTAAAATTTATCTTCCTAATTGGGTTGGGTTTATCGCCTTAAGAATATCATTTATACCCAACTTCGGAGCCGCGTCCAATGTCACAACCTAAACCATTATCATCCTACCACATGCACCACAATCCGATATCGTACAATATAAATGAGATCTTGAACCAATGTGGTGCCACTCAAAAATACGTTCTCACACTTAATTAAATCAATGTGTTCTGTAAGGAGAACACAAAGGGACTAACAAGAGACCCATGTTTTCTAGTCTTAAATTTTCACAAGATCAACAACCTAATCATTTGCAGCAGCATCTCACATTTTTTAGCCTTGAATTTTCTCATTTCTTTTCTGTAATTCTTACCGCCAAATATAGCTTCCTCTTCTTTTTTTGAATCTGCCCATTCTTGTTGTTCTATGATTCTAACTGTTGTTAAAAAACCCAATTGTTGCATTGAAAATTTACTTAATTTGCAAAGCACTATGTTTGTGAAATTACGGAGTCCAAAGTACTTAAAGGGGATGAATAGGTCAACCAATTAAAATTATTGATTTTAAGTTTAATTTTAGTTGATCAAACAGATTGAATCATGAATAAACAATCAACACATGAATATCATATTTTACATGAAAAACCCAACAGGATTGGTGAAACACAACAGGTGGGAAATTTTGACATTAAGTTCTTGCAATCTACGGGAGCATTTGGTGGGTGAGATTGATATATTTAATTTTGTTGGCTATATACATGGTGGATTTCTTTATCCTTTCCTGCACTGTTATTATGTGGGTGAGGTTGCATTATTCAATTTGATAAAGCCTCAATTCCAAGTCCTTGTGGCTACAGAATCATCTTCTACCATTCAGCTCTGTTTAGAGACATGTCTCTCTGATACATTGTAGGCAATTATTTTCCTTCCTCCTTTACCATTGTTTGTTCTCTTGTGTAATGGGTATAACATTGTCTATTCTCTAATTTACATATTTAATTCTTCATTGTGGTATTTTTCTTCAAATTTATCAGACATGCACTAGTAGTTTGCTAATTCAATATCTGAGATAAATAAAGCACAAGATGTTTAATTTGTTTCTACATTCATAATTTTTGGGCTTATCTAAACCTATATATGAATTATGTGTATTTTGATAACTATGGATAGATTTTTTGATGGTTAACATTATTTTAGGAATATAAAAAATTAAAAAAATAATAAAAATAAACATATTCTGAATTTTCTGTAAATTTTGATTTATGTTTTACTAAGAAAGAAGGTGAGTAGGGAGAGAGAGAAGTCGGACCTTAGGGTTTGGAATCTAAAAAGATGATAAAAACTGATTAAAAACCCGCTGCTGCGTATATAAACTGGACAGGCTCGCTCGAGCGAAGACTTGGTCGCTCGAGCGACCAGACACAGAGAAGCTACGCTCGAGCCAAGGAAGCCTTGCTCGAGCCAACAACCCAAAAGCTCGCTCGAGCGAAAGAAAACTCGATCGAGCGAAGAACTCAAACCCTCAGGTCTGTAACCAGACACACGCTCGAGCGAAGGAACTATCGCTCGAGCGAAGAACGAACTAACTCGCTCGAGCGAAGAAAAGCTCGCTTGAGCCAAGAATGCACAGCTACAGGTCCAAATCAGACGCAACCTCTCGCTCGAGCTACCAAACCCCGGCTCGAGCGAAGAACCAAAAATAACAGCTCGCTCAAGCGATAAACTCCTCGCTCGAGCGAAGATCTAAAATTCTGGACAACAACACTTGGTTTCTAAACCCAACCAACCTGAAACAAACCTGCCCAACACATCCTATAAGTCCAAATGAGAAAATAAGGGACAACAACAACAATTATACAATGACAGAATCTACGGAACCTAAGTCCGGATACAATAATCAAATGGGAGAAGACCGGGGTCGCTATAAAGACCGAGCCTAATGGCACCTGTCTGGACCTTTGTTTTGTCAGCCAACCTAAGTGCCTCATGTGAAGGTTCCAAAACTGTCAAGTGATCATGGTTCTGTGATTAAGGCTTAAGCCTTTGTTTTCTTTTGTTAAAGATGTTAACTATTAAGACAAGTTTTTGTATACTGGGTATAATCCCTTTTTGGCTTATCTGTAGAGTGTGATGACTTAATAATGATGTTATGATACATGTATGTAAATATTTAAAGTTTTCTGTCTCATATAAGTCAACATAGCTCATTGGACAATAAATATTTATGTATTTGCTTCTACCAACCCCCTTATTTTGTCAATCTGTTAAAAGGCCTTCGGTAATATTGGGATTACTGGCCGGTCATGATGCTAAACCTATAGGGGGCAGGTTTGGGTCATGATAGAGTAGTATTAGAGCATGAGTTATACTGCACACATGCTCCCATATGAGCTATAGGATATCCTAGAAAAGAAATAGAGACATTGCATTGACATGTGTGAGTGTGTGTGGAATATTACGAACATATCTAAAATGAAAATGAAAACTATAAGCATGAACAAAGAAGTTATGTATAAGAATGAGTAATTTGATTTCGATATTGAATTTGAAACTGATATGAACATGCAAGTTATGTGATCTGTAAGAACTATTTGCCTATGTTTACTATTGTCTCTGCTTACATATAGACGAATGGAAGGAATAAGAAACGTAGATGAATATGAATCTTCTGATGCTAGAATTAATCGACTAAAAAGAATGGTTGAAGCCTTAACCGAATCTATGAGACAACAGCAACAAAGACAACCACCCCTACCTCCTCTGCCGTCCTCGGTACAACTTGAACCAATGAATAATGATATGATAACTTTGATACAAAAATATAATTAGATGAAGCCATCGGAATTTCTGGGGGGTATTGAACCAATTAAAGCCGAGGCTTGGGTTTTAGAAACTAAGAAATATTTGAAATATTTTCGTCTACTGAGGTACAAAAAGTTTTGTTGGTAACATTCACACTTAAAGAAGAATTTAGGAGATGGTGGATGTTTGTACGAAATGATAGTAAAAGTATGACATGCGACAGATTCAAAGAACTTTTCTATGAACAATATTTTTCCCAATGCATCCGAGATAGGAAAGTATTCGAGTTTGAACAACTTACGCAAGGTGACACGAGTGTGGCTAAATATGAGGCAAAATTTACTGAACTAGCCCGATACGCACCCCATATGCTAGACACTGATTATAAAAAGACAAGGAAATTTGAGGTGTCACGCCCCAAAATTCGAGACCGTAAAAAAAATGTACAAAATACAACTCAAATAGGATAAATAACCAAAATATTTTAATATACACATATAAGCAGAGTTAATAGCATATTCCGCTATAGGTATACAAAACACTGTCAAACCAAAAGTCAAAAGAAAAAAAACTACTAGTGTAAGTCTTCAAGTGAACCACGGCTCCAACACTTCATCCTAATTGCCTTCAGGATAACCTCCACCATCATAAACTGCTTCCTCACCTGATATGACACAACATCAGCTTGGAATGCCCAATACAAACACATACACACCCATACCTTCTATCAACCAATCAACCATACATAGAACAAATTGAGTAACATAACATACAATACTAGAATAAGGTTATGTGAATTAGTTGTTAGGCTACACATCTAGAATCCCCCAAAGAGATCCTTCTACCTAACCACAAGGATTGAACACTGGACTATTCAAAATTCCCCATTTTGCTGCTTTGTAGACCTTACTACCTATGCCCACCTCCCGGTTATTTACCAGTCAGCAACACTGATGGACCTCAAAAGGGACGGCCAAAAAAGTGGGCTCGCTTACACCCTAAAACCACGACATAGAGTCTGAATACATCCGTGTCATCCTAGGGATTCACTTAGACCGCTTGCGCAAGACTTAACTCATTTGGTATTAATTCCATCACAATTCATGTCATGCATATGTATAAATTATTCCGAAACACTAGCATGAACGTCAACCCATTGCCAACCCTTTTTCATTTCCCGTTTATTAGATATTTTGATAACCGAGTTAGTCACATTCGGTAATATGAAAGAGCATGAGACAAACATAAGAAAGGAAATATAGCCCATGATAATCATACATAAATATGGTAAGGCAAGCAAACAAAATTGGGCATGCTTTGAAATGCTTAGAAACAAATAACACAATAAGACACAATTTCCAGCACTATTCAGAAGTGCAAGGTTAAAAAGAATGCTTTGGAAAAAATACTTACAGATCATATTAGGGGCTGAAATTGCATTGAAACAATAAAAAACATGTCTATTTTCAATTCTAATTTTTAGAATTTGCACAGCACATCCAGAAATTCATCTACAAGCTATGTTCGAAAACTTGTCCAGATTTATCACCTTTTGGGAAAACTAGCTTTCCTCTCACTCTACCTAATGATTTTCACCCAAATAAATTCCGTTGGAAAGAGGAATCTGAATTATAAATGTTGACAGAAGAACCAACATGAGATGATTTTTCTGGAATTTTATAAAATTGCAGAGAATAAGTACCAGATTTTTAAAACAAAATATTCAAGCCCTAAAAACACACGATGAGGGGCTAATAAAATTATCGTAAGCTCTACATACACCAAATATCCTATATTAAATTTAGATTTGATAAATAAATAAATTTGATAGTTCTTTTAACTTAGAGAAGTTGTAGCAGTGCATAGTTTGACAAAATTGCAAGACAAAGTCACTAGATCATACCCACACTTCCATACACACCAAAAATCCTATTTACCATTAATATGCAACACAAGAGGGCATACTAGACAATAGGATGAGATGGGTGAAAGAATTGGAGAAGACAAGGGAGAGATGTGTTCTTACCTTGACTCAAGAAAGCACCTTTTCTTCCTTTGCTTCTTTTTCTTTTTTTTTTTCCCTTTTCTTTTCTACTTTCCCCTAGTCACACTCTCCTTCTCTCACCCTCTCCTTGGCTGCTGAAACGTGAGTAGAGAATTGAGGCGATGCTCTCAATTTATAGGAAATGAGTTTGGGTTAAAAAGATCATTTTACCCTCAAGCTTAATGACTAAGAAAAGTAGTAAATATCTAGATATTTTCTCAACCAATTTTTCCCAAAATAATATTTATAATACCTATGTAAATATTCATGTTCTAATAAATAATAAATGAAAGAACAAAAAAATAAAATAAAATGTATGAAGTAATTTAGAAACTAGGAGGTAAAATAAATAAAAACCAAATTTTAGGGTATTTCCAATTATAAGGTGGTGTTCTAGGATTTAATTATGATAATGTACAGGAAAATTATTCTTTATTAGGCCATTTTGCAGACTTTTACGAAGCTAGGGGTTAAAATGCTATTAACTTAAGGCTCTGGGTTTCACGTGTAATTAACAAAAATTAGGGTCTCTACATGAGGGTGGATTAGATATTGATGTGCATGACCATGTAAATATTTTGAAATTGACAAAGGACGTGGACGTTCTTGATAGGGCCTTAATGTCTGAGGCAAACATAGCATCCTTGAAAATATCAAAGTCAACATCATTAACTAAATAGGAGAATAAGAAACAAAAGAAACATAAAGTTTAGAAGACTAGTGCTTCAATGACCTCTGTAAATGAAAAATCAAATCCAAGAACTTTTGGCAATATAAGTTGGGGAAACAATGGGAACAATGATATACTTATGTGTAAAGAATGTGGAAAATAACATTGGGGCATTTGTCACCGCCTATTTGGAGCTTGTTACAGATGCAGAAAGAAAGGACCCTTGGCTAAATCTTGTCCACAAGCTCACCCAAATGATAATAGACCTATTGCTCGTAGGGTTGGATCAGCAATGACACCAAGGACAGATGCAATTTTTACTCCCGAGGAAAGCAATTGTAACGCCCTCAAAATAGTAACATTAAACCCATCAGATAAGACATGCATTTACATATAAACCAACCATATTCCTTTATTTCATTGAGTTTCATTACATAAGTATTACATGTTAACATCAAAACAAAATGCCCTACGGGCTTACAGCTTTCCAAGTTAACACTTGGTTTCAACAAAAGAATACTAACTCGTTTACACATTAAGCC